CAAAATGATGCTAATTCAGGATAGTGCTCTAGGGTACCCTCCAAAAAATCTGATGGACTTTGATCCTTGAGCAAAAGTGGTGTTTTTGCCTCAGAACAATAAGTTTAATGTAGTGAACCTGGATATGATTCAAACATTTAAGGTTTACTATACTCGACGATCCTTTGCCCATTTAAATGTAGGTATGAAACAAAGCAGTGAAATGACTGTGAAAGATTTATTGAATGCTTTAATAGTTCTGGATGCAGTGAGAATCATAGGAGACTCGTCAGCTGAAGTTTGCGAAAGAAACATGAACGGAGAAGACTTTGTACACTCTTATTTAATTAAAACCTGATCACGGTTCTAGAAACTGATCACGTTGCTGAAGCAACAGAAGATGTGATCATTTGCTTCACAACCTAATTTGGAGGTTGACGCTGAAGATGTCATGGAGCTACTGAACTTCCATAACGAAGCGCTCACATTATATGACTTATAGAAATTCATAACCAGAACGCCATCGAGGAAACTGAAGAGACTGTACCAGGACGGATTATCGCGATTAGAGTCGAAAAGTTAACTGAAGGTGTTGACCTGATTTAGGACGGTCGGAAGGTTCTAAAAGAAATCGATTCGAATGAATACCAAGCAGCAGCTGCTAGACAAGGCATTAAGAAAGCGATCGCTTGCTACAAAGAAATTTTACGAGAGAACAAAACATCCCGCCAAACTTAACTACTGGACTTCTCAAAATCATCCTCGTCTAACTAAAGACTATTGTCTGTTCATTTTATTTTGTTTAAAGCGCATTTTTGTAATGAAGATATTATAATTTACTGACAACTGTTGCATTTTTATTCATCGAACTAACTGTCAAGAACCAATTATATCACTTTAATATAGAATTGTATGAACTGTTCTTTCTCGACTTAACGTCGTTTCGACTTAAGTCGCCGACTGTGAAACCACCTAAGATGTAACTTCAGGGTATTACTGTATTTTTTTCATCGGTCAGCATCATTCTGTTTTCATCTTTTATGCATTTCACCTAACCGACATGTCTTGTTCGTTTTTCTTTCATTTTCGTTATACGACTATTGCTAGCACAAAATTCCGACCCAGGCACCTCATTGCGATGTGGGAGTGGCAACGGCAAGAACGTCGAAGCATGAAGGGTTACGTACCCTGGCACTTCCTAACAAGCTGAGATGATGCAACACCGAGTCACTGGCCGGCTAAGAATGGGCGGTACCACTGACGGCCTGGACCAGCGAGTACTGAATTAACAGGCAACAACGATCATGAAGAGAAGAAGAAAAGAACATGGGCCTCAGTACCCTACACAGCCTTGAAACCGGTCTCCGTCAGTGGGCAATCGAAGAGCGAGGGGCTGCTAAAAGTCTGAGGATGCACCAGACCGCCAAAACAAACGGATCCGATCTCTTGATATGCACCAACAGTTGTAGGTCGCTGTCCAGTGATGAACACATCGTCCTGCGACGTCCTCAGCATCTGCGAGACACGAAGAAAGTCAGAACTCAACGCGACGTGGCGGAATGACATCGTGGCTCTTTTCGGCAAAGGAGAAAAACAAAGGCGGAATCGGGTTTATCGTGAACAAGAAGTGATCTCTGTGAATCATTTGCTGCCGCTTTAGTTCATCGCGTCGGTGTACTCCTCCTACGGATGGATTCCAACGAGACCCTCAAAATCATGCAAGCTCATGCCTCCACTACGGCCAGCGACGACGATGAGGTTGTACAATTTATGCGGAGCTCCAGTCAAGTCTAACCGTCAAGTCCACCAATACGACTGTGATGGGCAACATCAACGCAAAACTTGGTCGAGGAGGGAAAGCGGGGGAGAAATGAATTGGCAGGTTTAGTATAGGAGAGCGAAACAACAGAGGTGATGGAATGGTAGCGATGGCAGAGGCTAACAAACTGTTCGTGAGTAACACCTGCTTCCGAAAGAAAGTGAGACGGAGATGGACATGGATCACACCAAACGCAGTTGTGAAAAATGAAATCGGCTATATTTTGGTCGATTCATAGCGATTCACATTTTGAAGGACGTCTCCGTAGTACACTCGTTCAACACAGGAAGCGATCACCGCATGCTGCGGGCAAGAATACACATAATTCCGGCTGTCGAACGAAAGGCAAAGTATATACCGTGTCAGCGCGATAGGCCCAGGGAAATCGACGAGGCAGAGAGGGATCGGCAAGTCGAAACTACTGATGGACTATGACTGCCAGCATTGAAGAAGATTACCACAATTTCACTGAGAAGATCCTTCAGTGCTCAAAAAAGCTGAACATGTTCAGCCTCTACTATTGGATTCGAGGGTCTTAGAGGTGACCAAAGAACTACTAAAGAAGAGAAGAGCCATGAAACAGGGTAAAATCAGGAATGTACGTTACAATCATCTTTACAAGTCAATTCGTAAGAAGCTGAAGGAAGACCTCTAAGACTAAAGTCGTCGAAGGCGAATAACGGCTGTTCAAAGAAAACAAAGCCTGAAGAAATGCAGAAAGGA